AGAAGACCACACACAACTCCACCCGTGGCTATGGCCCCTAGCTTGCCGCTGGCCCATTTAAGGACGCCCCCGAAGCCGCTCCCGACTGCAGTGGCTCCACCCGAGACACCATCTCTGAGTTTGTCGCTGGTCCATTTGAGAGTGGCCCTCAATGTGGACGTGACATAGTATGTCGTTTTGCGTCGGAATATAGTGGACGCCGATGGGCCTGGTGCGGTCACTTGGCGTCGTCGTCGTTGTCGGTAGCTGGGGTCTCGGCTCGGGGTCGGCAAGTATCCATCGATCTGGTCCTTGTACGGCATTGCTATCGCGATGGCGTACGTGGCCACCAGGAGGCAGATGAGGCAGCCACAATGTCGTGATGCCGCTGAGCTGTGCTGGGGCTCGTGGGGACCGCTGGCATCTGGGTGTTCATCATCGATGGGGTCGTTGTCGATGTCGGCCTGCCAGTGGTCGATGGCACTGGGGTTGGAGTCAGTCACGTTGTCACCTCCTGCGGTCTGGGGATGTCCAGGTCTAGCCAGTGGTGCAGCGGGGCTGAAGCCGCCACTGCACGGCCTGGCATGAGCTGGCGAAGCAGTGGGATGGCTAGTCACATCAGCGGCAGTGGCACCTTCAGCGTCGTTAGGCCGCGCAGAAGGGTCGACCTGATCTGAGGTGTGGGGCGCACTGCGTTGCCACGGGGCGAGCCCAGAGTGAGGCTCACTGTCGCGGTCACGCTGAGCCGAGTCGCCTGATGGTATCGTGCCGTCTCGATCCTGGATATCGATGTCGTCCTGGCTATCCTCCGACGCGTGGAACGAGTCCATGGATGTATTGCCGATATCGCTGGCCGCGATGTGCTGGAGCAGCCATGATACGGGATCTTCTGCGGCCTGATCGGTGCCGTCCGTCGGCGCCGCAGCGAGCTCCGCCTCGACGAGCGGCAGCATGTCTGGCGGTTGGTGCAGGATAACATCAGCGAGGTACGCCATGGCGTCATGGTCGGGTGGAGGGAGACCTCTTGGCAGCAGAGCATGGGCCCGTGAGAGGTATGGCGGCAAAGGTGCCATGAAGGCCTCAGGGCCAACAAGCGTTGCACGAGCGCCCTGGTACTCCAGAAGGAGGCCGAAATAGCGGGTGGCGTACTCGCGGCTGCTCTGGATCCGAGTGAGGTTGCGGTTGATGCGCTGCCTGTCGGGGCCCGCTCTGTGCCAGATGTCCTCGCACATGTCGACCGCGGTGCGATGACGCAGGGCGTCGGTGGTGTCCTCGGACGCCTCAAGGAAGAGGTGATCGTACTGTGGCAGATGGAGCGTCGCCAGGATGTACGGGACGCAGTCCTCGAGCCATGCCCAGAACATGTCCTGGTTATCCTCACCTGGTGCCCACGCCGCAGCACACGGTATGAGCCGGGCGCGGATCATCATCAGGTGCCAGAAAGCAGGGTCTTCCTCGGGTTCGCCCCTATCTCGCATGGGAGTGGTGGGACCCGTAGGGCAATAGCGGGGCACAGCAGCGGGGCTGAAGCCGCCACTGTGTGCCTGGCCAATACTGCACGGACTCGCGGCAGCGGTTCCGTTGACGATCGGGTCCAAGATGGTGCAGTGATCGTACTTGTAGATGCTGTCATCGTAGAGGTAGAAAAGAGACGCACGTTCGACGTGCTGCAAAAGAAACCCACCTCCATGCTGGGGCGCACCGCCTGAAGACGGGTGTGCTCCCGCGAGCGAGGGGAGGGCCAGGCTGAAAGCAAAGCGCCACATGATGGCGAGGCCTGGCAGGCGGCGCGAGCGATGAGCCAAAGGCTGCATGTCAGCACGCATCTTTAGGTACCCCTGCATGCTCATGTACATTGCAACAAACACACCCACAGCAAGATGACAGGTGTCCCTACACCAGGTAGCTTGCTCGTGCTGCTGCCAAAAATGACATGATATCACAAGGAAGAGGTACAACGAGAGGTGAGAAGGGATGCCTCTGAAGGCGCTTCCTCGGAGGGCTGAGGCGGGCCCTCTGAGGCACCTTCAATAGGGTTCCTGTGTGGCCCGCCCTTTGTCTTTGCCTTTGTCAGCCCCTGGGGGCCCCGTCCCTGGGGTGACCTGGCCTGGCTGGTCGATCCACCCGCAGACAGCCACGGGATCGGCAACTGGTGCAGCTTCCTCCTTTTTGGTATCGAGGGTGGCCACCTGGGGCAGGTGGATGGTACCCCCCGTGAGGTGCCCGAGGAGGGCCTGGATGTCGCCGCGCAGTGCAGCAGCTTCGGTAGTTGCCGTCTGTTGCTGCGTGACGACGGTGGCAAGCCCTCGTTCCAAACCTGTAACGTGCTCCGTGAGTGTGGCCTGGGATGAGAGAACGCCCGCAAGCTGGACCTGCATGTTGTCCACCGTGTTGGCGAGCAGCTCGTGCTGTTGTTCCATGTGTTGGATGCGGGTCGTAGCGGCATCTGACAGTTTAGGGGCCGTAGCGAAGCGTTCGCCGAGGGTGTTCGGTTCGCGCGATGCCACGCTGAATTCGTCCTCTGATGAGAGGATCTCGACGTCGCCTGGTACCTCGGCGGCTGCGTCAACGTGCCCTTCCGTGTGGCCCCCACCTTCGGCCGCCCCCGTGCCAGGTTGCGGGTCATGCCCGTCCCCACCTGGTCCTTGGACGGCCGTCTGCTCGGCAGCTCCATCCGTGCCGTGCGGGGGAGCAGAGGAGCTGCGGCCTGGAGCGCCTTGTGATCTTGCGTGCGGCGTGGCGTCACGTTTCCCGCTGGAGGATCGGTGGCGCTTGGCTAAAGGCTCCTCCTTAGGGATCGGGAGCGGTGCGACGCCCTTGCCTTTGGGCGTGGCCGTCATGAGGTCGTGGAGGTAGGGGCTCTGGGCCGCTTTGGTTAGGAGTGTGCCCGTGGCGGGGCTGAAGCCGCCACCACGGGCAGGCGGCGTCACAGGCTCTGTGATAGTGGTAGGGGTGACAATGGTGACGTTGTCTTTCTTCGGCACGGCCTCAGCCAACGGGGCCTCGGTGATGCTCCACGGGATGGGGCACCCTGCGACCTGTACCGTATATGTGGGTGGGGGACGATGAGCGCGCACTAAGGCAAACTGCGCCGAAGTGGCTGGGTCCCAGGCGGTGTGGTAGACCTCACAGTCCCATTTGACGGACGGGCCCGTGAGAGTCTTGGCAAGCTGAGTCAGCGTGGCATGGCGTGCCGCAATGCCCGTGATGCGGTATCGCGTCTTGGCGAGAGTGGCTTCGCAGCCACGGATGCTGACGGCAGCGGCCTTGGCGGCGTCTGACCCACGTGCAACACGGATCCCCAATAAGCCTGACTTGCCGTGCCTGACGACTCCTAGGGCTTTGAAGTCCACCGACTTCTGGAACGCCTCTGCCATCGTGATGGGCTGGTCCTCGGGGAACCACACGGTCTGGTACTTGTCTGCCGTGGGCTCGTCCGCACCTACGTTGCTGAGGTCGTAGGTGGCGCCGAGTTGCCCCGAACCCGCCAAGACCTTGTCAACTGCTTGAAGACTGACGCCGAAAGTGGCAGCCAGGGACCTTTTTCCGACGCCAGATCCGTACCTGCCTAGACTTTTGCAGGGTTCGAGGATAGTGACGGCTTTAAAGTTGCCGTGGAAAAGGGCCTTGAAGGTGTCCTGCAGCTGACTGTCGAGCTCCTGGCGGCGAGCGTCTTTCTTAGACTCCCTGTGCTTTTGGTTTTGGCGCGCCTTGTCCTGTGGAGCGGAATCCCCTCGGAAAGGACCCTTGGCGCGTGGACCACCGTTCACGGGGGCGCCTCCCGAAAACTGATCCTCGAAGGCCTGGTGCATGGAGGGGACTGCGGCGATGGCTTCGGTTTCATGTATGGTCACCCGAATCCAGCATACGTGGTCGGCAGGATCAATGGTGGCGACGGCTACTTTTTCCGTGCAGGCGACTTCCTTGGTGCCCAGCTGGTACACGGTCACGGGGACGTGCGTGTGAACCACATTGGGCGCCTTGGGGTGGCGCTTCAGCACGGGGACGGCGAGCTCGGTGCCGACGTAGTTGTCGTTTTTTGGGCCCATGACAGCGATCGCGAGCTGACCCGTGGTACGCTTACCCTGCTCGAGATGGTGCTGCAGCAGCCGCTCGCCACTCTCGTAGTCGTGGAGGCTGATGCTGGGCTTGTACGTCTTGCCGTCGTCGAGTGATGTGGGTTCGGCCAGGACTGGGACCTTCCAGAAGGCCGGGTCCAAGGCAATAAATTTGGCGTCCGCAGCCTGAAGACGTGCGGACGCAGCTGGTGGATAGGATGTGTCACCACCATTGCGCTTAGGCTTGCTGCGCTGGTGGTGATCCAGCGTGTAGCTGATCTGGTTGGCGGCACACATGCGAATCAAGGCACTGCCGAGCTTCTTGGTGTTGGTCTTGTGCATGTCGTACGTGGCCTGCAGCTCGTCCGCGTTCAGCTCGGCGAGCCCGTTGTATGCGGCTGTGGGGCGGTCAGACCCCGCTTGCTTGAAGGCTGCAATGCAGTCCTGTTTGCGTTGGAGGAGGGATCCTTCAGCTGCAGGACGTGAGCTCGGCGGCTGCTTGGAAGAGCGACGGCGCTCCGGCTTGGCGGGGGCCATTGCGGCAGGCGCTCTGGTGGGAGGGAGGAAGTGACGCAAATCAGTACCGCGCTGCTGGCGCGGTTCCGGTCTCGCGAGGCCTGGAGTCGGGACTCCAGGCGGGGCGCTTCGCGTCGCGGCTACGCTATGAGTGCAGGGCACTCTCGAGCCGAGACTAGAGAGAGAGAGAGAGAGAGAGAGAGAGAGAGAGAGAGAGAGAGAGAGAGAGAGCAGACACAGAGACAAAGACAGAGACAGAGAAAGAGACAGGGACGGCGACAGCGACAGAGAGAGAGAGAGAGAGAGAGAGCCCGCTGATTGGGGGGATCCAGATTTTGGATGCCCCAGTCCGTTATCTTTTCCCATTGCTGTAGCCCGCAGCTTTGCGTTGGCTCAAGACCACAGGTGCGCCTCGCAGTCAACGTTGCATCGCGTCTCGTTGCGATCATGGCGAACCTCGTGGCGGGGGGCGTCAAGTCTCTGGGAGAGATGATCGCGGGGGACGAGTCCGCCACCGAGCAGGTCGCGCAGGCCTGGGGCTGCATGGACACTCTGAACCCGTACAGTCGGCTCGAGAAGCCCACGCGCTTCGAATCAGACCCGCCTGGTTGCTATCGTCTCCGAGACATGCCACTGAGAGACATCGACAACGTGGTAAAAGTGAAGCACGTCGTGGATTGGATCAAGATTGGAACGGAGTGCCAGGAGCTTCCCGACACAAGTGCTGTGGACATGGTCGACATCATGCGCCGCGGCGACTACGCGTCCTTGCCGTCTCCGTTCAAGCCGAAGAAGGACACGGGAGAGCTGGCGTTCACAATGCAGATCTACGTTCTGCCCACCGACCCTGATGGGGTGCAGTCTGTGCTGAAGTATATCAAGTTCGACGACAGTATTCGCGTGGACTTGGTGAAAGATGTGTTCATCGTGGGCACGCCGCTGACGATCCACTGGGGCCGCACTTCTGACACGAAGAAGGTTCGCAAGTTGTTCCACTTCATGATGGACCGCCTTGGGGGCGTGCAGTACCGATACTTCGTGCAGCCGTCCGTGAAGAAGGCAGCTGAAGCGGGCACTTACGACAGGATTGCTCGAACGGCTGGTTACGCCTTCATTCGCGATCATGGACCACGGAGCAATGCCCAGAACCAATTCGTCGAGTGGACGGATGATCAGATCCACCTCGAGAGCAGTCCGATCTTCGGGTGGACGCCTGGGGATGTCAAGGACCAGGCGGCTAAACGGACGCGCGGCGTAGAGCGCGTCCCCTTCGCGCTGGGCGCAGACCTGATCGTCGCGCCAGCTTGAGGGGAGGTGCTCGGGCGCGCGTCCGTTTGGCAGCCTCGCAGGAGAGCTTGCGGAACTACGCCAACGGCACCGTGGGCGCGCGGACGTTGATGTCGTGGTGCCACACTTTGAGGCAGTTCCATCCGACGATCCTGAACAACATCATTGCCCCCGCACTGCGCACTCACGATGTACATTCGATCATGTGGATCGGGGAGACTCGCGTCGGGAAGTCGTCCGCTTCTAAGACGACCTGCTTCGCCATCTCGGCTTGCCAGATCGACAAGCACGGCCGCTCTGACCTGAAGCCGAGCGTCGTCACCTCCAAGAGGATTGATTTCTTTCGCCTCGAGCCAGGGAGCCTCTTCAAGCCCGCGATTGCCGACGACACGGTGATGTCGAAGTGGGGCACAGACGACGTCAAGGCGTTCCACGACCCGGCCGAAGAGGACGCCTTGCTCTGGGCTCGATGGGGCGGCGCGCAGTTCATGATGAACCAGGCGCGGCAATCCTGCGCGAACGCCTACGACAAGGATTTTGAGGCCCGCGTCCAGCCCGTTCGGCCTGGAGCCGAGGCAATCTCCTTTGACGATTTCGTCCGCATTATCCAGGCGAACTTTCCCCGCGACGCGCGGGGGTCGTTCGAGATGGCAGACGCGGAGGCGTACCTCGCGAGGAGCCACGTTGTCCTCCTGTCTTATGATCATCATGTCCTCCTAGGGTACAGTTCAGTGAAAGTGGGGAAAAAATGGTTCGGGCGGTTCTAAGATAAGTGGTGGTTTGTATGGTAGATTTAATGTTAAAAGCGTTTTTATGTTAGACTATTTCGTCGTAGGGATAAGTTTCTGAGAGGGCCCCCGTAGTGGCCACGTGCAGCATAGGCCCCGAGCGGGCCCAGGTTAGACAGATCCCCCACAAACGCATCCCAGAGGATTCCTGAGACGGTCCCGATATCCAGCCCGACGCGTAGTGCGCATTAGGCCCGCTCGGGTCTCGTTTCGATCCCACGCGGTAGCCGCGCGAGGAGCGGGAGTCCAGGGTCCACGTCCAGGGAGCAGCCCTCGTAGAGCCGTCGTAGATCCGAACCGAGGTTCTTAGCTTACGTGAAAAAACTACATGCGGGGGTTGATCGGCACGGGGGGAGGAGGGAGGATGGTGGGGATAGACTCCAGGAAAGAGGACGGGGAGGAGGGACAACTGGAAAGGGAACGAAGGCGGAGGAGGGGCAGGACAAACGACGAGTGAGGGGGTTGAGTAGACGGGGGAGGGTGAGGAGGAGGCGCTCGCCCGCCGCTGGAACCCCCCTGGGCCACGACTTCGGCGAGATAGGGAGGGGCAGTAGGTCATGGTATCCTGATTGCCCTCTTTTTCCTGTTGCTGTTGTTTTTGCCTCCCCCTCCTCCCGCCTTCCGTTCTTACTCCGCCATTGCCCCCCGTCGTGTGTTGCAGCTTACCCCCTTGATGACCTCGTCGTCGCGAGCGCTTGCGCCGCAATGGGAACCCCGCCCCAAAACCGCGCCCCCCCCCTCCTCAACATCAATTCCTGGGTTTGTCATCGGGCGCGTTTTGACCAGGAGTCCGATGCGGGTCCAGCCGTGGCGGCGAGGGGCGGCCCCAGGAGGCTCAGAGACAACTTATTGCGCCTCTGCCTTCTGCCACCCTCCTGCCTCTCCGTCCCGCCCGTTCGGCTCGAGGGGGTGCCATCCAGTGTAGTTGTCTCGGGCGGAGGCGAGGCAATGTCGGCCATGGCCGACTCCTGGGGGCCTTTTGAGGCCTTGCTCCCAGTTACGCCCCCGCCTTCTCAGAGGACCAGGCCCGAGAGCACGCCGTGGCAGCCAGGTATGTTCGTCCCGACTTCCTCCAGCGGCACTGGTCTGTTCGATGGTCCGAATATCTACACGGAGAGCATCTTTCAGCGAGAGATGGAGGCTGCGTTTCAGAGGTATGTGAAACAACTGCCCAAGCGTAGGATGCGTGGTAGGTTGCACCCCTGTCGTGTATGGCTCCCGAAGTTGGGCAGTAAGGCAGCGCAGACGGTAGCTGTGAGAGATGTTGAGGCTTCGCGTGTGGACGATGTGATTATCATCGATTAGGGTGTGCACTATTCAGCTTCCTTTTTAATGCATTTGATTGCGTGCTGCCAGGGTGTGCTCAGCTCGCTTAGGAGTTCGGCGTTCGAGCCATGGGTAAAACCAACATTGAACGGGCTTGTCATCGTCCCGTCTTGGATGTACCCTACCCTCTCACCGTCGTCGTCGTCGTCGTCGTCGTCGTCGTCGTCGCCGCCGTCGTCGTCGTCGTCGTCGTCGTCGTCGTCGTCGTCGTCGTCCTCGTCGTCGTCGTCGGCGTTGTCGTCGTCGTCGTCGCCGTCGTCGTCCTCGTCGTCCTCGTCGGCCTCGTCGTGACGATGGTTCTGAGGGTGCCTTAGGTTCGGAGGCTCCTCCCAGAGATCCCATTGGACCCCCTAGCGGGTCTGCGTTGCCACGCGGGGCCTGATCGCGTCACCCCGTGGAGTCTGATTGTTCCAGAGTGGGAGGTGCCCCAGGTCGATCGGTAGCGAGCGGATTCCTTATCCAACATCGCCGCCTGTAGTTGGCATCCTCTATCGTTGGCTGGTTCGGGGCGCCCCCTATCAATGCTCATGGGCCCACTCCGTAGCCAGTTTGGCTCAAACTATGCGCGCTTGTCACCTCGGACTCTGCCTCCTGGTGCTCGTCCACACCAGCGGGCATGCGGGCCGCGCGGCGGCCCGGCCGATGCCGATAGGCGTCGGCGGCGGCCCCGCCGCCGAGGCAGCCCCTGGGCGGGGCGCCGCGCCTGTCGGCCGCGGACGGGCAGCGGCGGCTGGCGGCCGCGGCGGCGGCCGAGCTGGCAGAGGAGGGGGGCGCGGCCGCGCCGTCGCCAGGCGGCCCGCTGCGGTTGCGAGGCGCCCCGCGGCGGCCTCGGCCGAGGGCGCCGAGCCGCCCCCAGAGAAGAAGCTGCGGACGCCCACGCTCGGCAAGTACGCCGACACAGTGCTGGGCAGCATCCTTGAGGGCGATGCGTTCCCAGGCGCGCCGAGCCCGCTGCTACCTCTCTTCGACTCGTGGTTGGAGGCTGCTGGTCGCGACGACTGCGAGGTTGATGATGACACGCTGCGTTTTCTGAGCAGTCGGTTTGACCCCTCGCAGAAGGCGCCCATCTCAGCTATCAGCGAGCTCAGTAGAACCTTCGGCATCGACGCGATGCAAGTGAGAAATAGGGCGATGGACGCTGCATGCTTGGCATTACTTGCAGATCGCAGGGAGAGGCGCCGACTTGAGCTTGCACTCACCAGTTGCAACGCTCCAGGCAGCCCAGTGGAGATCCAGCCGATGCACTACGGCGAGTTCCTGATGTACGACGAGTCGCCGCACACGCTGAGGTTCAATGACTTCTTTAGGTCGGGCGGGCGGCGCCGCTTGTTGGAGGCTGTCGCCCTGGCTTGTCCTGGGGCGGTCGAGGGCGATGCGATCGTTTCGAAATTGCCGATGAAGCTGGCTGCCCTAGCTTCGTCCGAGGTCGGCCCGATGAAGCTGCTCCAGATCAGGACAGAGTACGCGATGCTGCTGCGCATCAAGGACAACAGGAGGCACGGCGCGATCTCCTACTGCATGGTCTCTGGCGAGCAGCCGAACCCTTTGCAGCTCATCGACCGTTGCACTGGCGAGAACTGCAGGCAGTGCTTGAACAACGTGAGCGGGGCCTCCCTACGGACGAAGGCGTTCGAGCAACGCTTTCGAGGCACGTGCCTGGACAGGGCCCCCACCAACGCGAAGACTGAGCGAGGCGTTCGCGTGATGGACGCCCCGCTCGACCAACGCTTGAACCTGGACTGCAGTGCGCACGTTTCCATGACCATCAAGTCGCATTTGTTTTCGGCGCTGAAGCCTACCATCGTCGGCATGAAACGATGCGCAGCTTCCTTGAGGGTGTTAGGGTCCATGATGTCTTTCAGGAAGATGTTTAAGATAGTCGTGAAGCCGCTCATCGACATAAAGTACGGGGAGTGCCCGCCCGATGCAACGTTGCATCGCATGAGGTGCATCAGGCTTTTCTCAACGAGTCTGCAGTGCTCAGTCCCGAAGCTGGTCGCGAGGCACATGTTCCCGAACGGCGACTGGCGCGAAAGGGCCACGATACCAGTGTACGTGCCTGGCACCGCGGAGGACTACACCGCAGCGCAGATCCAGGAGAGGAAGGCATTGATCGTGGAGGGGTTGTGCTACGCATTTTGCAGCAGGGCCCCCGACAACTTCGCGGAGCACCACTGGACTGGCCACACCGAGTGCACGTGCGCATTCGGGATGCTGGAGGCGTGCAGCGGCATCCTCCGCCATGTGTACGAGGCCTGGGCCAGCAGCAAAGGTACTAGGCGTCGCCGAGGCGCCGCTGGAGTTGACGGCGGGCCAGCCGCGGCTGCGGCGCCCGCGGGCGCAGCTGCGCCAGAGGCTGGGGCTGGTGGGCAGTTGGTTCCATATGTGCCGCCCGCTGCTGGGCCCGCGGAGGCTGGGCGCACCCCTGCCCAGGCGCAAGAGGAGCAGAACTCGGTTGATCGGCAGATCGCCCTGGACTGGATCTTGTCAGAGCCCTCCTTCGACCTCATGCTGATGAGGCTGGCGCTCACAATTCTGGCACCACTAGACCACGTCGGACTGACGATGTCAGGCGAAGCTTGGGAGAGTGAGCAGCGCCACAAGGTATCGCAGGCTCTCGCTGGAGGGCTCCCCATGGCGGACGCGATGGCCCAGAGGCAGTTTCGCATCACGGTTGCCGCCAGGGGCGCTGCTGAGGCGAGCGCCTTGAGCAAGCTCCGCTACATGTTCGACGAGGACGAGTTCTGGACCATCCTCCCGCCGAAGTACCACAACGAGCGCTGCGCGTGCAAGGTGTTTAAGCTCTTCAGCCGCCTCGGCGCATTGATAGAGGAGCTTTGGGCATCTGGCAATCGCTCGGCGGACGTGGCTCTCTTCCGGCTTATACACGAGCCACATCGCCTGGCAGAGGTTCGGGCTTGTCGGCATCGGGACTACTGCCTGTACGGGACGTTCGGCAGGCAGTTCTTGGACTCGAACCTGGACGTTGACGATGAGAAGGAGATCATTGTGCGGTTGGCGTTCGTGGCAATGATGGTTCGCACATCGATGGCTCCTGTTGAGGCTGGTTGGGCGTACGTGCGCCGATTGTGCAAGAGACTCGGTTGCCAGACGCACCAGCAGGAGCTTGGTTATATATCAGCATGTTGGGTTATGAGTCGGTTCCGATCGCTCTTGGATCACGACCTCACGTTGCAGTCGAAGTTCCAGCTGCCCGCACACGTGATGAGACAGCGTGACGGCGACGAAGGCGACGGCGGGGACAACGAGGAGGAGCCCTCGCTTGGCTGGCGCGGGCCATGGAGGGCGTTCGTGGCCGAGAGCGACGTCGGCATGTTCCGCGACTTCCACGAGCTGGGTGCCAGGTACAGGGAGATCAAGGCTAACGACCCAGTCGCTTTCGCAGCGCTGCAGGCGTCGGGGGAGCAGGCAGCGGCAAGGCGTCGCGCTGGTGATCAGCGGCCTTTCGGCCCTACCAAGCGTGATCTGGACAGGGAGGCCCTCGTGAATAGACAGGGGGCCCGAAGGAAGCAGATGGAAGACCGACTCAGCGGGCGCCTTGATGACGACGATGGGGACTTCAGGGTCGACATGGCGGAGGCGATCGTCCAGGGCGGCGGCTCCTTCGAGGCGTCTCTGCAGGCCGCTCGGGA